CACGGGGGAGTAGGTGGATGAGAGGCAAGAGGAGGCAAGATCGCGTTAATTTCAAAGGTTAAGGAGATGAGGGAATTGCAAAAGGAACAGCGGAGGGAAGAACAAGAAAACACACGAGAGATAAGGGAAGGAAGAAAGAATGAAGATAGATTAAACAGTGTAAAATTCATCCGTAGGAGTACATAATGATGCAAGTTTAAGAAAGTTGAGAAAGAATAAAGAAACTATATCTGTCTCCCCAGGATTCCGCTAATGAAAACCGCCCGAGAGCGCGTGCCTATACGTAAAGCTTATTTTATTTAATGAATTATAGATGGTGACACTAGCAGTAACAAAATGCACGAGGCATTATTTAACTCACGAGGATCAGTATTTCACAGGTTTATTATTCTAGTTATTGTTACTTTTGACCATCCCGCGAGTCATGAGTTTGACATCTCTGGGCAGATTTTAGTGGCGTAAAATGTGGGAAATCCAATGTGCAGTAAGGAAAAGAGCAACGAGAGCGGAGCTACACATCGCCTCGTCCTGAGGTGCTCCAGCCCTCAAGTGGGCGGAGGAGTTGGGCATCTCACAGCGCCCCGCCCTTCGCCCGCTCCTCAAGGGGCAGGAAGAGGGCCGCAACAAGAGGAGGGGAAATATGAAGAGGGGAACGGGAAGAAAAGGTCTAGCGAGGAGAATAGCCGAGCGGGGAGATGGAAGATCGAGTGGAGGCCTAGGAGACTGATCAGAGATTAGGTGACGGAGGAAAGACTCGGCCAAAGCTAGGTTGTTAGAAGGAACCTTCCATTTGCTGGCGTTACCCACGCTGGTGTGTCTGGACATCATAGTTTTGTAGTTTTACATTTAACCTTTTGTTAACTAAATGAACTACTCTTGTTTCAGGGAAGCTGATATGCTAAATGTAATGTTTGTCTAAAGTCCCACATGTCAGTATCCTCCCTTCAGGTGATTATATTGTCTGCATGTTTCCCAATTATTGTGCGTTCTTATTTTGCTAACCACACCACTTCATCCCGCCTCCACAGCCGCCGCCATTGAGTGCTACCAGTGCAACTCGACGCACGAGAGGACGTGCGCCGAGGCGCTGCCGCAGCACCACTCCCTGTACTCGTTCCCGTGCAACCACCTGCAGGAGCCGCGCTACTGCGTCAAGATGACCGGCATGTTCGAAGGTGGGAGCCTCTCCCTGGGCTCTTCCTGGCGACGGACCTCCTCCTGTAGCTTTCTTTGGTGGCTTTCTACTAACATTGTTTCTCACGTGCAGGCGGCTCTTTGTGTCTGGCAGCGTCAGGTGCCAACGGCGTCTCGGTCTATTTCTCTCTCTCTCCCTCCCTCTTCTCAAATGACACCCGTCTTTCCAAAATTGTCCCATGGCCCATCGGCAGGCGCTGCGTCGGCCCTCCCCTGGGCGCCAGCGTTGCTCGTCGGCGCTGCCCGGCCGGATCGGCGCTGGGAGTGACGACGCCCGGAGCAACTCTCGCCGAAGGGGCGCTGTGCGTGCCAAACCGCTTGCTCAGAAGCATAAATACAGTGAAGCGTAACGTATGTTCCAGCGAACTGCTTGGACTGCTACCAGTGCTCGAGCAGCGAAGATGCCTTCTGCCCTGAGCAGTTCTACGCAGGATACCACCAGGGGCGCGAGGCGGCCTTCGAACCCGAGTCCTGCAGCCACGTGTTCGAAGCACGCTACTGCGTCAAGACCACCGGCATGTTCGAAGGTTGGCCAGGACCTGCCCGTTGCTCCTGCGGCTCGCCCTGCCCTTGCACTTACCCCATGTTAGCTGTGCCGTCCAGCCCGCCCGTAGCCCCGCTAGTCCGAGGCCGGCCGGCCCGCAACACCATTTGCTCTTAGTGTGGCGCACTGTTACACCGAATGCAGCTGCTCTTGCGCAGTTTGGCACCTAGCCCCAGCCCTCATCCTCGGCGGCGAGCATGAGCCGTTCGCCCAGACAAGGGCATCTGCTTGCCCCGAACACTCCACCCCCCCTCTCTCAGCCAACCTCTATCCCTCCTCCCCCTCGTAAACAAGGCTGCCTCCTTGCCCGTCCTTTCCTGTCATCCCCATGTCCTTACCAGCCCCCAGCTCCACCCTTTCCCCTTCAGTGTTAGTTTCTTCCTGTGTCCGCGATTTTGTCCTTATCTTGCATGGTAAACATAACGTGCATGACTTTCTGCTGGCTTAATGATTTGCATGCAGTGCTTTCTCGTGGACTGTTGAGTGATGCATGGTGTGCGTGTTCCGCGCTTGTTGATATGATTCATAATGATTCATAAACAAAATCCTTTTCTGCCTCTACACTTACATACGCACACATAAAATGACGGTTACACATACACACACATCCATATTAATATAAAACACAAACAAACACAAAGTGGCCCCAGAAAACCCGCCCACCGCCAGCCGAGCAGCAGCTGAGCGAGGTCCTCCTCCGACTAACGAGGGCGGAGGCGCTGTAGCCTCCTTGAGTTCCTCCGTCGTCAATTCCGAGCACGT